CGTTCAGGGCAGGAGGAACCTTAAGGTCCAGCTTCCCCCGGAGGTCCCAGAGAACACATGCCCGCATTTGGGTCAGCATCCCGCCACTCAGCAAAGCCTCCTTCCCTTTGATCTGTGTCCTCAGTCACATGCATCCCTGTTCCCTGTCATGAAATGTGTCACATTCTCCAGCTCCTTCTTCTCTTATCTTTCGTTTTCTGCGGTTGGGTCATGAAATATTAGGTATGGTTTCATTTGAGGTTCTCCTTAATATCCTTGGTATTTCTTACTTCCTGAATCTCTAAGTTTGTGTTATTCACCACCTTGGGGAAGTCTTCAGCTAAGTTTTTTTCAAATTCTTTTTTCCATGCCAGTCTTTTCCTCTTTCTCCCGCATTATTTTGATTATCATTGTCACTGTTTTGGTTTTCTTTTTCTCTGCGTTCTTCACACTGGGCAATTTCTACCTACCCTGTTTTCAAATTCACAAAGCCCTTTCCCCTACAACGTCCATTTTGTTATTGAGCTGATCAGGTGAGTTTTTAGTTCATTTACCACATTTCTCTCCTCTCTGATCTCCATGGGGTTATTATTTAAAAAATTTTTTTTAAATGTTTTATTTATTTTTAAGACAGAGAGACAGAGCATGAGCAGGGGAGGGGCGGAGAGAGGGGGAGACACAGAATCCAAAGCAGGCTCCAGGCTCCGAGCTGTCAGCACAGAGCCTGATGCGGGGCTCAAACTCACGAACTGTGAGATCATGACCTCGGCCGAAAGTTGGACGCTTAACCGATTGAGCCAGGCAGGCGCCCCTCCGTGGGGTTATTTTTTAACACTTCCTATGGAACCCCAATCTTGTCTTTCACTTGGAGTTTTTCCTTTGGCCTCACAGCGTGGTGATAGAAGCTGCTGGAAGTCTGATCATTTCTGCGTTTGGGCTGTCTAGAGGCTGGCCTTTGTCCACTGTCTTTCTTCTAGAGATTTGTTCACTTCCCTTGGTGTTTCTGGCTGTGTCCTCCATGGGGAGTGTCACGTTCCTCAGACTCTCTGTGCAGGGTCCCATTATCATCTCATGGAGAACGCTGATGCTTTTGTTTGCTTCCTTCCCTGAGCGGGATTTCGGCTTGGTTATCAGTCACAAGTTCTGTTTCACCGTCTGTGGCCCGTGGTTCTGATCTCGGCTCTGTGTTCAAAGCTTTGCTGTGCTGCCTTGGGTCTGTCCTACTCTGTGCCCATCAGCTGAGCCCGGGACTTATGAAGCTTCGTGCTCAGAAGCAGGCAGCCTTTCTCTGGAGTCGCCCACCGGCTCTGGCCCGCAGACGTCCCTTCCCTGGTGGCTTCTTGTACAGCTGTAGCTGTAGCTCCCGGCCGGGGCCACGCCTCTGGATAAAGCTCACAGCAAAGAGAATGAAAGAAAACAGGCATTTACCGCTGACACTCTTAGCTTGAGGGGCAAATTCTCTCCGTTCCTCTGGCCGGAAAGCCAGTTTTGCCTCTTCTGTGCTTGGGGCAACACTGAGAGAGGCCAGAGGAATCATTGCACCAGGAAACACTCCATCATGGGCAACTTTTCCATGCAGTGGCTCCCCTCTACCTGATCCAGTTGTAGTTACTACACCTGTTAGTTGCGGTCAATGTGGCTGGTATAGAGGAGCTCGGGAAATCTCCCTCCGTTGAAGTCAGCAGTGGCATCCCACTTGTTAATTTCCACGACTGTACTGTTACTTTCTCCTACTGGTTTCAAAGTTATTCGTTAGTCATTTTGCAATGCTCCCTAGAAACTACAAAGGTCTTCTTAATCAATAGACTTCTAATATTGGTTGATACTTTTATCCTACTTCTGTGCAATGAAAGCACATTCAGAAAGTTTACTTATATTTGTGCCCCCTCCTGATTTCTGGGCTGTTGTTGTTATTATGTCTTAATTCTGTCTGTAGATTCCGAGTTCCAGAACATGTTAGTGTTCTTGTTTTAATATAGTTAGTATTCCTTTGGATATAGTCTCACAATTCTTCTGATTTCTTCCATCCTTCAATTTTCAATCTGCAGCCTTCTCATACCAGTGTCTACCAGGTATGTATAGTCCATCCCTTAATCTAAACCTAATGGTGCATTTGTATTTAAAGTTCATTGTTTATATAGCAGGTAGTTGGGTCTTGATTTTTATTTTTGAACCTAGTCCTCTAATCTCTGTCTTTTAATTGAAGTTTTTGTTAATTAACATTTAATACAATCATCCAGGTGACTGGGCTCAGTCTACCATTTTCTGTTTACTTTCTCTTTGTTCCATTGAATCTTTGTCCTGCTTCTCTTTCTTTACGTCCTTTCAGATTCTTTAAATACCTTTTGGTATTCTACTTCATGTCCTCTATTGGCTTTTTTGTATTTTTTTGATTGTTGACTTTAGACATTATAAACCGTTCTCAGGGTACTGTGGGTTAATACTGGACCGCTTCTCCATGTAAAAGCTTTAGAACAGTGTAATTCTATTACCAGGGCCTCCATCCACTCTTGTGCTATTGAGATAATATATTTTGCTTACACACATGTTACAAAACACACAGAACAATGTTATTATTTTTGCTTTAAAAAATTAATAGTCTGGGGGTGCCTGGGTGGCTCAGTTGGTTAAGTGTCCAACTTTGGCTCAGGTCATGATCTCACCTTTCCCGAGTTCAAGCCCTGCTTCGGGCTCTGTGCTGACAGCTCGGAGCCTGGAGCCTGCTTCGGATTTTGTGTGTCCCCCTCTCCCTGCCCCTCCCCGGCTCGTGCTCTGTCTCTCTCTCTCTCTCTCTCAGAACTAAATAAACATTAAAAAAAGTTTTTAAAGAATTAATAGTGTGACATACATCTTTCTATGTTTTATCTTGGCCACATGTTGACTCCCTCTGGTGCACAGTATTCCTCCCAGGAGACCTGTGCTTTCGTCTTGGATGATCCTGACAGCCCAAAGGTCTCCCTGTGGTGTTTCTTTCAGTGTAGGATCTGCTGCTGCAGATTCTCTCAGCTTCCTTTATTTTCTGGAAATGATTTATTTCAGCTTCATTTCTAAAGGATATGTTTGCCAATTATAGAATTTAGGGTTGGAAATACTGTCCTTCAACATTGGAAAAAAAATATTTCATGTTCCTCACTCTGGTTTCCTTTGTTTTTAGGAAAAGCCACTAGCCTCTCTTTTTGGTGTTACCCAGAATATGATTATTTTCCCTCTGGGTGTTTTTACCCAGTTTCTCTTTGGTTTTCAGAAGTTTGACTGGGACGTGGCTTGGTGTAGATTTTTTTGTGTTTACCCATCATGGGATCTGTTGAGCTTTTCAACTGTCAGCCTGATGACTGGCAATGTTGGCAAGTCCTTGCTGGTTATCTGTTCAGATTCTTCTGCTCTGTTAACCTCCTTCCTTCTGTGAACACGACCACGTTTGATACTGTCTACATCGGGGACGCACCACAATACCTGTTTTCTGTTCTCTCTGTGCTTCAGTGTGAATCCTTTCTGTGAATTTATTTTTGAGTTCACTGGTTGTTTTGTTTTGTTCAGCCTCCATTTTCCCAACTCAATGTGTTTTTAATTTTGATGGTTCTATTTTTTCATTCTAGAATTTCCATTTGGATCTTTTCTGTAGTTTTCATTTCTTTGCTGAAATTATCCATCTTTTAATTCATCCTTATGCTCTTCTTTAGTTACTTTAGTATATTTGTAACAGCTATTTTAAAATCCTTGTCTGCGAATCCCCAAATCTGTGTCATTTCTCAGCGTATCTCTATAACCTGCTTTGTCTCTTTATTATGGACCTTATTTTCTTGTTTCTCTGAATGTCTGATAATTTTTTATTACATGTTTGACTTTGAATACAAAGGACAGTGGTGAGGGTAGGCGCTACGCTTTGTCAGGCGGCCAGAGTGAGCAGCCCGTGACCGTGGCCCATCCAGAGTTAAGGGGGCGCCATGGCTCGTCTCTATGTTACATACCTGCAGTTCATTTGTGGTCTCAAACACCTTGCAGGTGACACCAGAGGCCTCTCTGTAATAAAACCTTTGGATCTAAATACTTAAGAACTATGGAGATTTCTCTCTTTCTTTCCAGATTCTCCAGTAGGAGAATTGTCAGGACGTATGAGCTAGCCCTTCAGGGTCCTCCAGATTCCAGCCCCTCGCATGCCAACCCAGAAAATCTCCTCCTGGCAGTCTTGCTCGTTTTCTGCTCTGTCTTACCTTGTTATAAGCGGTCAGTCTTTTGGATTTTTGCCAGTCTGATGGGCAAGAACTTGTACCTCAGTGTGCACTTGGCCCTTGAACAGCATAGCGGTTCAGGGTGTTGACTTTCCATGTATCACTTTTGTCTCCTCCAGAACTTAACTATAATGGCCTACTGTTGACTGGATGCCTTATTGATAATGTAAACAGTTGAGTAACACGTATTTGTGTATGTTATGTCTACTATATACAGTCTCCTTACAATAAGTAAGCTGGAGAAAAGAAAATGTTGTCAAGAAAATCATAAGGAAGGGGTGCCTGGGTGGCTCAGTCGGTGGAGCGTCTGACTTCACCTCAGGTCACGATCTCACGGTTTGTGGGTTCCAGCCCTGCACCGGGCTCTGTGCTGACAGCTCGGAGCCTGGAACCTGCTTCCGGTTCTGTCTCTCTCTCTCTCTCTCTCTCTCTCTCTCTGCCCCTCCCCCGCTCATGCTCTGTCTCTCTTTCTTATTATTTGGAAATGCAATTTTACAAAAAGGAGAAACACTGGATTGATAGCAGCTACTTTTTGGGTGGGAGAAAAAGAAAGGTTGGGAAGGCTGGGGGGCTCAGTCGGTTAAGCATCCAACTTCAGCTCAAGTCACGATCTCACAGTTCGTGAGTTCAAGCCCCGCGTCAGGGTCGGTGCTGACAGCTCAGAGCCTGGAGCCTGCTTCGGATTCTGTGTCTCCCTCTCTCTCTGCCCCTCTCCTTGTGCTCTATCTCCCTCTGTCTCTCAAAAATAAATAAACGTAAAAAATTTTTTTTAAAAATCATAAGGAAGAGAACATACGTTTGCAGTGACGTATGGTATTTATCGGAAAAAAAAAAAACACCTGTGTGTAAGTGGACACGTTCAGCTCAAACCCAGCTGTTCAAGCGTCTGAGGAACTTGGGATTTGCTTTCGTCCTTTTATGAGTGAGCTGAGCGTCTTTTCCTGGACTTGAAGGTCACTTCCAACTCGCGTTTGTCAGCTCTTCATGTCTTAGCCCTCTTTCCTGTGGGTTTCTTGCCCATTTTCCTCTCTCTTCTCTGTAGAAGATCCATGTTTTAAGGCTATTAATCATTTGTGATACAGGTTGCAAATATTTTTTCTCTGTCCTTCTAATGTTTTGCGTAGGTTTTCGAAAACCCACCTGGAGGTGTAGCTGCTGGAGACACCTGTAGTTATTTCTGATGCAGTCTATTCGTTCAAATTTGTTACTTATCAGATAAATTCCAGGCTTCGTGCAGCAGCCCTGCTGACCTCTGACCTGACTCGTCTCTGTGCAACGATCCTGTGTAGCTGTTGGCCGCCGTGGGTTACATCCTTGCATCACCTCACTTGTGTAGAGGCCCTCGGGGCCATTCCCTGCCTCTGACAGCTTTGGTGAGAAGTCACATCCTCCGCTGAGCTTTCCCCACACTGCCAGACTTTTCATTACTGCCTGTTTCCTTGTGCTCCTATCGTAGAGTTTATTTGGCTTTTAAGAACCTTGATTTCCTGTCTGTTTCTCCTCTGCAGGGCAGGGACCAGATCTCGCTCATGCCTCTGATACCTGTTCCTGAACCCAGGTGTGGAATGATGCTTAAAAGGTGGGGAAAGCCTGGTGTATTGGCCGTGCCTGCTGGAAAACTGGGATGTTGAGGGTGTTGACCCATGATAGTGGGGTTGTGTGTCCTAGCCACCCGAAGACGCAGGGATCTAAAACTCAGGGGTAGCAGGGGGAAGGCTGAGCCTTGATTTGGGGCCAGGGTCAGGATGGGCTGCTGCTGGTCCTCTGGCAGCTGAACCGTGGGGGGCAGATATGGGGAACTAGAAGCAAGATCAGCCACTCATCGGACACTTACGCAGTGCCCGTCGCTGTGCTGGGTGCCTCAGCTGGCTTGTAGCGTTTCATCCCTGCAGCAGCTGTTGTGAGTTCTGCAGATGACGATCCGACCCGGGGGCCCCTCGGAAAAGGCCATTACAATGGGTGTTTGCAACAGTAGGGACGCATTCTGCGGTTTCCTGGCCCGGAGTGGTCGCGGATCTCCGGTGACCTGGCCTTCGCTACGCTGTTTCCCAGAGCGATTTCAAATAGCCCTTCTCTGCACGGAGGCCACTGTTCACTACATTGAGGAGGTTGCAGTTACTTTCTGAATTTGAGGACATAGGAGAAAAAAGGAAGCCAGATATTTACAGGGTGAAGCCTGGCGAGGTGTCGGGTGTGTGTGGAATGCCCCCCCCCCCCACCCCGTCCACCTCTGACCAGAGCACACGGGTGGGGTTTGCCCTGGGGGTCACCCACAAAGGCTCACAGACTGCTCTTTGAGGCTGCCCCTCTTTTCTCTTCCAAGGGGATGTTTCCTAAAGGCATGGACCCCCTGCCCCTGACCGGGGTGGGGGGGCGGGCAGAGTGGCCCTGACTTGGGCAGCAGTGACCTGAGTGGGAGAACAGGTTCTCTGCGGAGTGTGTGCACAGCGCAGGGCACCCCTCGCCTGCCTGCAGCCTGACTCCGTGGGTCCCTGGGGCTCGCCCGCCGACCTACAACTCCCGTGGAAGGCCACCCATTCGTTTCCTCTTGATTGTTATTTCGATAATTTGTGTTGATCTGGAGGGCATTTCTTTTAGCCACACGTCCGTGCAGGATGTCGGGAGACCCTCCCCGAGTCATGTGCCCCATGCAAATGCACCTGTGTGCTGTTAGGAAGGTCTGGCTTCCCGGACCCCGTGGAGAGTGTCTGCTGAGTGGGGGTCTGGGCTGAACCAGGAACTGGTGGTGTAGGCTAATGGAAGGGTGTCTGGGCAAGTGTCCCTCTGTGTGGGCACATCAGCTGCTTTTAAAGAGCAGACGGAAGGTTTCTCGGGAGGCAGTGGAAATGCTCTCGCCATTGCGCTGAAAACACACTTCCTGAGGACCGTGCACATGGGTGTGAGCGTGTGCACACGCGTGTGCGGGTGCACATATATGCACAAGCCTGTGAGTGTGTACAACTGGGAGATTGTGTGTGTGAGTCTGTGACTGTGTGTGCGTGCATGTACGATGAAGATACAAATCCGCATTTTCTGATTTTATCGCTTGTTTTCACTTTAACAAAGTACGTATTAGCTGGAGCCATGACGGAGCAGCAATTATCAAGATTGGCAAGAGCGCAAGCATCAGTTCAAGTCGAAAACAATTTTAGGGGCCAAAAATAGGTCGTGTTTTGTTGAGACGCAGGAAATAATTTTCATTAATTTTAGTTTGAGGGCTTAAAAAAAATAAAGCCTGTGTAAGCACTTCTGATTATGGCTTCCCCCACCGCCGCTTGTTACTAAAGTCACAGGATAATATGAGATTTATTTAAAGTGGGGGCCTGTTGGCCTCACAAATCCAGCAGCTCTGAGCGTGTGAAGAGACCCCGAAATGTATAAGATAAACTAAGAGCGAGAGTGGGTGCCTTCTCTAACAACCTAGAGAGATGTGAGCAGATCCCCGGCCCGGCAGAGGCAGGTGAAGGGGACCGAGCGGGGCAGGGATCTCTCTTTGGGGACTATATAGTGACTCTGGACCAGGGTAAGGTGACACGTCTTTGAAGGAACCGCAAGCCTTGCCTGAATTCTAGCTTTGTCAGCATTGGGATTCCGGTCAGCTTGATGAAGGAAAGGTAATTGGCAGGTGCACATCCCGCTGCTTCGAAGGCCACTGTTGGGCTATGGAACTGACGACCCCAACCCCCACAGCCTCTGCCTGGGCGGGGGGGTGGCGAGGGCTCCAGACTGGGGGGTCCCCGCATGGAACTTCCTCTGGGGTCCAGGGCTCCAGCCGGTGTGCCCGGACATATTAGCAGTTTGGGGGCCCTGACCACAACACCCCACCTTGCCACGGGGGTTTTGAAATAAAAACACACCTGAGACACGTGTGGTGAAGTGTGGAGATGAGTTTGATGAGGGAGCGTGGGGTGGGCTGAGGGCAGAGCACAGGCGGACAGCACCCCCCCCCCACCCCCACCGTGGATCTGTGTGATGTTCCTCGGACACTCCTGGCCGCCCAAGAACACAGGAAGGGGGTTCAAGTGCTTGCTGTGGTGACGTGGGAAACTGAGGCAAACGAAACATCAAATCCCCTTACTGCCTACGGCTCACTGACCAGTCCTTGAAACCGGCGCAGTGACCTCCCTCGAGGGGCTCAGCTGCCTCCATGATGACACTTTGCGGGAGACAGAAGGGAATCTCAGCTTCACATCACCCCACCTCGAGGACCCTGTAAGTCTCCTTCCTTTATCTCAACTGCCCCAGGACACACGCTGGCATCATCCTCCAGGCTTAGGGCCCCTAGGGGTCTCAGGACTGAGGTTTTACTAAACGGTAATAAATGGCGTTTCCCTGGCCACAGCGACCCCCTCAAGGTCCTGGAAACCCTGCTTCCAAAATTCCTAAGAGACTTACTCTATCCCCGCCCCCTCCCAAGCTGAGGGTATGTGATGAGTTACCCATCACAACCCCAGTGCAGCTCCTCCTGCCCATGGGCCCTGTCCCCATGCTTTAATAAACCACCTTTATGCACCAAAGATGTCTTCAAGAATTCTTTCCGGGCCGTCAGCTCTGGAACCCCCCCCCCCCCCGTCACCCCAAAACTTCATCAGTGTGACACTTCATGTGCAGGCTCCCTTTGCCAGGAGAGCTTGGCAGGATTATTTGGGGGCCCTTTGGGAGGACCAGATGGCATTGGTCACCCCGAGTGAGGCCGGTAGATCCAGGCCACAGGTCGGGCCAGCCCAGGGAGGGAGGTGAAGGCAGGGTCTCAGGGCAGGGCCTCGTGCGGGGCTGGGGAGGAGCTGGCGTCTGGCTGGTCCCCTCCCCTGGGCTTGCCCCGCACAGTTGGCCTGGGAGTGTCCCCACCTGTCCTCGCTCAGTCCTGGTGGCTCTGGACGTGTGTGTCATTGAACTGTGCTCCCAGCTCCCCCTGTGCCGGCCCCCAAGTGGGCAGTGGGACCCCATCTTTGGGGTGGCCAAGCTCACACAGCCTCGTATGGGCCTCAGGGTGGCCCCCTTCTCCATTTGGCCAGTTGGTAGACACATGGCTTCCCTAAACTGGGGTCACCCATCACACGTTGGCTTTCACACCAAGAGTCCTGGCGTCCCTCCCTCCTGGAGAGAGGGCCTACCCCGTGGCATTTCGAACCCCCACCAGCCTTTACGACGCAGTTGTGGTGTGTGCCTGTGTGCTGCGGGCACAGTGTCGGGGCCCGCAGGGTCTGTAGGGGACGCTCAGTTACTGTGGCTCCCGGTCTGCCAACTGCCGAAGGCCACCTTGTGAGCCACGGTGCGCACCCCTGTATACTTAGGTCACAAAAGGTGTTATGGTGACCCGATAATACCCACCCAACTAGGCATTTTGAAGAAAGAAATACTCGAGGGAAAAGTTATTCTTTAGTTAGCAACTTGTTGAAATTTGTCCAAGTCATCAATTGTTAATTAATACGTTCATGCTGATCGACACCATCTACCCGGAGAGACAGCGTCAGACCCCCCAGGCTGAGGGCTCTGTCCCCCAGCACGGCCCCTCCCCACTCCAGACACCAGTCCAGGTGTCATCTGGGTTCTGACCCAGCAGCTACAGACCAGCCCCCACCCCACCCCGTTAGCACAAGAGACACCTCCCTGCTCTTGCACTTAGGAAACCCCCAAGGATTGTAGCGGCTCTGTGTTGGAAACTGGGACAAAGACCTAATCTCTCTTCCTTATAGTTCACGGTCTCACAACATGTTAACATATTAATCCAGTTCACCAGAAAGCTGGTTCTAAAAGCCCCTTTTGTCCGATGGAAGGGAGCCTTCTCTGAACCCCTTGCCATCAGGACCCCACGTGTTCCCTCTGCCCACGGGGAATGGCCGGGGAGGGTGTCTGGGATCCCGCTCTTGGAAAGCTGGTGTTTCTGTTCACAAACCAAACACCCGCGAAATTCCCAGCAGATACTTATAACTTTGTTTTCTGCAGCAACCATCCCCAGGAAGTGCTCTCAGTCGTGGGTGGAACCCCACAGTGGGGAGAACTTTCAGCCTCATGGGATGAGGAAGCCAGAGGAATCTCCCCAGTGGGGCCGCCTGGCCAGCCAAGCAGGTTGATTGTGTTGTTTGCGGGTCTTACAGCTGGCTGCATGAGGGGTGTTTTTTTCCGTCTTTGTCGCTGGGGGCCGGGTGGAGGTGAAGGAGGGCTGTGCAGATGTGGTCCGTTTCAGAAGGACCGCGGAACTAGGCTGTCTCCCCCTTTTTGAAAACGGGCACCTCTCTGCAGTCCCGCAGCAAGCATGGAAACTCGGGGTACTTGGAAATGTCAATTCCTATGGAGTCCCGCAAGTTCAACTCAAAAAAACTTAAAATACCGACCCTTCAGAAAATCTAAGAGTAATGAGTAGAAACGTATCCACAAGGTCTGTTATTTCAGCGTAGGTGTTTGCGGAGGGTAGTTGGCTCCTGTGACCCCACGTTTCCCAAGGTTACACTGGGTGCACTCGCTGGAGCATTGGCTGTGTGTCTTGCTGGAGGGGTGACCTGTGGTCCCCTCACAGATCAGTCAGGTCAACTTTATCTTCTGAGTCCTGATGGGCAGGCATTGTTGCCCTTGTAGCCGCTTTTCTCACCCCAGAAGCTTTGAGGATAAATAGGGTTTTGCTAGATTGAAGTCTAAGGAGGAGAGTCACGCGGGCGGCCAAATCGGCGGGTGGTGCGGTGGGTGGGGGCCCCGGCGTCAGGCACGCAGGGTCTCGGGGCTCCAAGTGCAGGGTCCTGAGGGCTCCCAGGCCCAGGGGGCCTCTCCTGCCTGCGTCTTCTGGGCGCGCTCACTGGCGGGAGCAGAAGCGCGGCCTCACCGAACAGCCGGTGGTGGGGGGCGGGGGTGGCCCCGGCTGGGCTGTCTGTCCAGTCTGTAGACCTGCCGAGGTCTGGGGCCCTATAACCAAACAGAGGCTGAGCGGTGCAGGTTTCCACACCAAGTGGACACACGTTGGCTTTTGGCCTCTGCCTGCCTCTTTAGGATCGAAGAATCCACCCCGTTCATGTAGAGAGGAGGGGTTTTCGAGTTAACTGGTGTCTTCTGTGACGTGTGTGTCCACTGCTCCCTGCCCGACCTCTGGGGCTGTGCCCAGGTGGCTGGTCCTTTCCTCCTGGGCTGCGATGGGGGCGGTGCTGGGCCAGGGCAGGGGCAGAATCCACGGAGAGGATGTCCTGTCGCCCGAGGGGCGGGATCTCTGGCTGGTCCCACGGCCCCTGGCGGGAGGGTGGGAACTGCCCGCCTGCAGGCAGGGCCGGGACTCAACATCACACGCTTGCCGTCACACCTGGCTGTGCACCTGCTCCAACTCCCAAATCCCCAGACACACAGGGACAGAAGCACCTTGAGGAACAACAGGATTGGGCCCCCGAGAGATCCAGGAAATGGGGTCCAAACATTCAGTAGCAGAAGAGTTTTCCGTTCGGAGTATGCTTGTCTCCTCACCCACCCCCTCCCGCGTGGTTCTGAGACAAGGAGGCTCCGTTCTTGGCCGCCACGGTGACCTCCAGCAAGCAGGAATCTGGAGAAGTTTCTGGTCAGGGCAGAGGTCGGGGAAACGGGCTTTCCTGTCACATTCCGGAGGGGCCTGACATTCTCTGTAGGGTCACAACAGACACTGAACCATGACACAGAAATCCTCCAGGATTGGACCCATAATTCTTTGTGTTGGGTCTACTCACGTCCTCATCGACGTCACTTGCCAGACCACAACTTTTGGGCTGTGACTGATCCGGGACCGCAGTGCTGGTGAGCAGGGGCGGGGACCCGTGACCCGGGAGAGTGCGGACAGCAGGCCATGGAGGTCGGCGGGTCACCTGTGCTGGCTGAGGGGCTCTCGTGGGCGCAGGGGGTCCTGGGAATAGTCCGTGTTCCATCAGGAGCCTAGACCTGCAGGACTGCGTGCTGGCCCAGGAGACGGACAAAGGCTCGGGAAGGGGCCGTGGGGAGTCGGTGGCAGGCTGTCAGCCCTCCTGGTGTGGATCTTCCTGGTCACAGCACGGCTGTTAGATGGTCTTGCCTCCCTCCCCCCACCCCCCCGACTTGAAGATAGAGGATCTTCATAAAAACGCGGCGTGAGATTCGATCCTACTCACTTTGAGGCATCTCCCCGCCCACAGCCATGGCCAAGGGCCCCGGGGGACCGGCCTGGCGCTTCCCCAGGAATCTCGTCTGCCTTCATCCAGGAGACCGGAAGCTCACCTCTGATGGCGCACCGGCAGCTCATAGTCCCAGCGGAGATGAGTGCTAGCAAGGA